AATTCGATACTGACTCGATTTTTTTTACATAATTCAAATCAAGTCTTCGCTTGCACTTCAATTCTAAATTCAGGTCAGGTCAAGTTTCATGATATTCATTTTTTTTAAATTGATAATTCTATTCTTCTTTACTGATTTGATACTAACACAAATTTTTTTTGTATAATTCAAATCATGTCTTCGCTTGCACTTCAATTCTAAATTCAGGTCAAGTTTCGTGGTATTCTTTTTTTTTAATTGGTAATTCTATTCTTCTTTACTGATTCGATACTGGCTCAATTTTTTTTTGCATAATTCAAATCAAGTCTTTGCTTGCACTTCAATTCTAAATTCAGATCAAGTTTCGCAGTATTCTTTTTTTTTAAATTAATAATTCTATTCTTCTTTACTGATTCTATTCTGACTATAACGTTTTATTACATAATTCAAATCAAGTCTTCGCATAAGACTTCAATTTTAAATTTAGATCAAGTTTCGTGGTATTTTTTTTTTTAAATTGGTAATTCTATTCTTCTTTACTGATTCGATACTGACTAATTTTTTACATAATCAAATCAAATCTTTGCATAAGACTTCAATTCTAAATTCTGGTCAAGTTTTATGATATTCTTTTTTTTTAAATTGGTAATTATATTCTTCTTTACTGATTCAATACTGACTAATTTTTTTACATAATCAAATCAAGTCTTCGTATAAGACTTCAATTCTAAATTCAGATCAAGTTTTGCTGTATTTTTTTTTTTAAAATTGATAATTCTATTCTTCTTTACTAATTCGATACTGACTTGATTTTTTTTACATAATTCAAATCAAGTCTTCACTTGCACTTCAATTCTAAATTCAGGTCAAGTTTCAGATATTTTTTTTTTAAATTGATAATTCTATTCTTCTTTACTAATTCGATACTGACTCGATTTTTTTTACATAATTCAAATCAAGTCTTTGCTTGCACTTCAATTCTAAATTTAAGTCAGGTCAAGTTTCACGGTATTCATTTTTTTTAAATTAATAATTCTATTCTTCTTTACTGATTCAATACTGACTCAAATTTTTTTTGCATAATTCAAATCAAGTCTTCGCTTGCACTTCAATTCTAAATTCAGGTCAAGTTTCACAGTATTCTTTTTTTTTAAATTGGTAATTCTATTTTTCTTTACTGATTCAATACTGGCTCGAATTTTTTTTGTATAATTCAAATCAAGTCTTCGCTTGCAACTTCAATTCTAAATTCAGGTCAAGTTTTGCAGTATTTTTTTTTTTTTGAATAGATAATTCTATTCTCTTTACTGATTCTATACTAACTATAAAGTCTTCGCTTAAGACTTCAATTCTAAATTCAGTTCAAGTTTTTTGGTATTCTTTTTTTTAATAGATAATTCTATTTTTCTAGAATAACTTTTTTTTATTTTTATATAATCTGAATCAGGTCTTCAGATTACCATTTGCTGATAATACAGTTTATGTTGCTGAATGAGGTCTTAATCTTATTTCATAGATACCCGGTTATGACTAATGTTAAAATTCTTTCGTTACGATCTTTATTATTATGATAAAACTATTGGTGAAATGAATTGCTAGAGTTGAGATTCAATTAAACTTGTTGGTGTAATGTATTGTCAGTAAAACATATTTTCAGTGAAATGTATTGTCAGTGAAATGTATCTGTCAGCAAAACGTATTGTCAGTGAAATGTATTGTCAGTGAAAAAAACATGTCAGTGAAATGATTGTCAGTAAATCAATTGTCGGTGTATTAAACATGTCGGTGAATTAAATGTCAGTAAAATAATTGTCGATAAAATAAGCTTGTTGGCGAATTGACTGTCTGTGAACTGAGGTGTCGGTGAACTTATTGTCGGTAAAAGGAGCGCCACCCCAGAAATATATTATGGATCTATCTATTTAAAATTGACAGATAAGGATATCCAAATAAATCGGATTGTGGATCAAAGCACACAATTTGGCTTCGATCATGAACAAATAGTGATTAAGGTCAAATAGTTACAGCTTATTTGAAAATTAGTAAGACACCTAAAATATTTGCTTGTTTCCTGAAACCTTTCGGATTTGTTTTATGAATCATCTAGCTCTTCAGAAATCATGTCACAATTTTCTGATCGAGGTTCCAAAGACAGTGATGTGGTTTTGAAGGGTTAGATTATTCATAAGATGAACCTGAAAGATTTCGGGAAACAAGCAAAATTTTCAAGTGTCACTAATTTTCAAATTAGCTGTAAATCGATAAACTAACGCACATAATTACAGGTTATAATGTTTCTCTTTATTAACATAAATCAATACATCGGATTCCTATTATTATAAAATGATGCCTGTATGCAAATGTCCTCTTTAAACTATCTGATTGGACAATCTTGAATATATGTGCATAAACTCATGAAATTAACTTTATAAGGATTATGATCATCGGTAACTGTAATTATACATAGCTAATGATGTAACAAGATCGTAATCAATGAATTAATAATCAATGCGTGAAAGCATAAAATTGAAATGCGAAAATCAATTATCATTAATTCATATTTTGATCAGTTATATTTATATTTATTTGAAATCTATAAGATTCTTAAAATCTACAGAATTTCCGATTTTCACACAACATTTTGATCTTCAGAGGTCACATATTTTTGCAAAGCGCAATAATTTAACATCCACAAAATGTGCATAACGAAAATGATAATTGATAACCTTAATAGCAACTTACTGTACATCGTCAGAATAGTAAGGTTGAATTTTTACAATATCTCACGGTAGAAATCGTAATAATTTTCAACACAAACACAACCTTACAGTAATTCATTCATGATGCAGACTCAACCTTATTGTGCGAAGAATAGGTTTGTAACAGAATTTTTTATAGAAATTCACAATAGTTCCAAACTCTCATTACCAGAATGGTTTTACAGTAGCTCGCCAATGCAAACTAATAACTCAACCACACTGTGGTCACCGGAATAGCTGGTAAGTGTTACATAATTTTCTTTTATGTATCTTTAAATTACATACATTGGTCACCGGAATAGCAAATAATTTTAAAAAAGAATAGTTTACCGTAACTCATAATAGAATTCGTAATAATTCCAATGAAAGCTAACCCAACCTAAACCATATGCTGAAATAGTGAGCAAGTTTAGTAAGAGAATTTTTACAATAGCCTATTATTATGCTAGAAATCATGGTAATTCAAATGTACGCAAACTCAGCCGCATTGATAGATTGAAGAAATCGGGGCGCCGTCGGCGCCACGATTTTTTCTTGTATTACAATAATACAATAACCGTTCTAACAACCATTATTCCCTTCGCAGACTGAAACAACACTGTAACCACACTGTTATATATCTTTAACCCGTACTAAGGGTTTGATCCCTCGTTTGGGGTCTCGCTCGGTTTCAATCACTCGCTTGGGGTTTCAATCACCCATCTATGCCACAAACTATACTAAAATAAGAAATTCATAAAATAACGATAATAATAAAATAGGGATGTTAAGTGGTCCATGAGAAATGGGACTAATTCAGAACTGGTCCAAAAAGTAGTCCTAGATCTTGTGATCTCAAGCAGCGTTGAAAATTCGGCTCAAAAATTTTTTTATACAATTTAACCATACACTACGTGATATGCATAAAATTATTCATTCTATGTATATTATAAAATTTTCATAATATTATCATAATATGTAATACGTTGTACTGCACTGCTTTAACCTAATAAACATGGGAATCAAATTTATTTTTTTCAGTTTATCAATATATAACAGGATTATCCTTATTCGAATCCTCTTAATTTTATTTGAATTAAACTATGCTCGAAACTCAGTACTTTAAGCAACAAGATGGCTCAAAAATTGCTTATAAAACTCTTGAACCACACAATCCAGAAGACATAAAAAACGAAATTCCCCTTGTATTAATCATAGGATTGTAAATATTTCTGTTCTTAAGCATTTTGACTTATATTATTTGTATAATTTTCAAATTAACATATGATAATTAAGGTGGTGCGTTAAAGAAGAGTTTATTTGTCTGGAAGAAGGTTAAATATGAATTCTTCATTTTAGGTCATAGATGCTAGTAAAATTTTTGGTTTTACTAAACCATGACAATAAAATAAACCAACTTATTTCATTGTTTTAGTATAATCAATAATTTTATTTTATGAATTTCTAAAAATGTAGAGAAAAGTGATTAATTTTTAATAAATAATAGAATTAGCAAAAAGTTAGAAAGGTTAGCTACATTAATTTAGTTATTTATTTTTTTAACTAATATTCAAAATTATCCGTTTACCAGTAATTATATTTGATAACCGTGGAATGGGTGAATCAAGTGTTGTTTCTTCTGATGATCCAATATCACTTGATTTGATGGCACAAGATACAATTGCATTAGTTAAGCATCTCGGAATCAAAAAATTTAATCTACTAGGATGGTCTATGGGAGGTAATGTTAAATCTTAAATATCTAATTCAAAGATTACTGTATTTTGCGTAAATTAATTTTATGTGTAGGTTTTATCGTTTTTTATGTTGCCTTAAATGTTCCATCGAATCTTACGTTAGAAAAGCTGATTATTTGTTCAAGGTATATAGACATAAGCATAAACCATTTTAACGAATTAACAAGTATATTTATTAACTTATGTGTTTCATCTTCAATTTAGTTCAATTCAACCACCACCACCTTCCGCATTCTATCATATTATTTATAATTTGCTAAAGTCACCAGATCCTTTAAAGAATGTTCAAGAACAAAAAGACCTATTATGAATACACTTGAAAAATGCTTTACTGATTATATGCTTGAAAATCCAGAAATACTTGACAAGCTTGCAGAAATTCAGTTTAATTCTAATCGTCCATTTGAGATTTTCAGTTTGTATTTTTCGACTAAACTTTTATTATGCTTAAAATCCATATTGATAACTGAAAAAAAATATCAATTTAAATATTGCAGAACGACAATGGGAGGCCATTAAATAAATAGATATTGTCTCAAAAACACAAATGATCAAAACTCAAACTTTGCTACTTCATGGTGAAGCCGATGAAATACTTCCTATTGTAGAAGGTGAATTTATTGCTAATGCAATTCTCAACCTCAAATTTATTAGGATTCCCAATGCTGGGCATTTGTAAGCTTAAAAATTTTTTCAAAATTCTTTTTTTTAAAAAAAAATATTAACAATGTTTTGTTCAAAAGGTTTTGGCTAACAGCTCCTAATTCTATTGACAACATTAATAATTTCTTGTAAGCTTAAAATTATGTCGATT